ACATGTAGTTCATTTGCTCCAGGATGCGCCTCCGTGGATCGTATCCGTGCAGCAACTGTTCATGAATCAAGAGAGGGGCTGGCCAACTGGAGCGTGTGATTGCTTGGAGCTGGGACAAATGGTGTGACATCCCTATGTAAATTGCCCTCCGGAAAGCCAACAGTGTCTCCGGATTTTATAAATTTACACAAATCTGTGCTGTACATCGCAATATACACAGTGTGTAGCACAGATGTACCGTTATATTGATCCTTAAAGTCGTAGAGAAAATAAATCCGAGTTGGGTTCTCATTGTGTACTCAAATGTACGATGGAAAAATTGTAAAGTATTTTGAAGTTGCATAATTCCATCTTGAAAAACCTGCTAGAGTGGAAGAGCGTTATTTGACAGCTGACAGTGTGTCTGTGTAGGTTCAGTAACTAAAAAGCTGATTGGGTTTCAACTCAAATGCATTAAATTTTGGAGGGAACGTGCAGATATTTTTAGAAGACCTTGGGGGCTTTAGACGTGCCCCCTGAAATGCCTTTTAAATTTTTCATTCCCCTGTCTCTTCACAAGTCCTGACTTGAAATCTCCGGATGCCAGAGCCTTTTCCAGCTACAACGTCACTCTTCGCTAATCAGGCCGACTTAAGATGGTCGGTGTGTCCCAGGACTAACCCAAATCAAATTAAATCCTCGCTTTTTTTGGGGGGGGAGCTGGTCTAGAGCGGATTCTTCATGGATGTGTTTGTCTTGCTCTCCCATTGTGGTGTACGGATCAGCAAATACACAAGAAGCGTTGCCACAACACGAAGACTCCCTTGTGTGACGTGTGTCCCATTCTAGAGTGATTTCCTGGGGGGGGGGTTAAGGATCTTTGTCGGGAAGAATACCGGGGATTTTAGTGGAGGGATTTGGTTGATTGTAGAGCAAGGAGTCTTAACTTAGGCTGTGGCTTAATCAGACCGTCCGTGTGGATTGAATTGGTTTGGATTTGGATTTTTGCAAGATTTACGTTCATCTTCTTAAATGTAGTGCCAAATCTTAACCTTGCAGCACCTGTGGGAATGATTAGGGCAAACAGTACCCGGATGATGTGGTACCCGGTGATGTGGTACCCGATGATGTGGTACCCGGATGATGTGGTACCCGATGATGTGGTACCCGGTGATGTGGTACCCGATGATGTGGTACCCGATGATGTGGTACCCGATGATGTGGTACCCGGATGATGTGGTACCCGATGATGGAGAGGGAAAGTAACTCGGATTCATTTGTGCTCAACCGAGGAGTCCCTTCGCTTCTAGGAGAACACACAGTGTATGTGTTGTCTGTGGTTAATGTCTGTCCATGGAGGAATGGGAGACTTTCAAGGCAGTTGGTGGTGGCAAACATACTGGCCTCTTTATTCCTTGCATTCATCCACACTTAAAGTGAACAATATGCTCGATATTTTGAAAAATGTTCTGATTTGCAAGTCGGCCTTTTTTCCATGGTTTCATCAACAACCTGTACATGTACTTGGGCACGTACTGTACGTGCATGTACATGTGCACACATGTGCAAGACACATGTTCTGCCACAGCGACAATCTATACAATTGAATTACGTTCCCCTGTAGGTGTAAATGGAACTCGTTGTCTCTATTGAATCAGCTGGCAATATCTGGGCGCGTACGTGTGCATCTGTTGCCCCCTCCGACTGGTCCGGTCGAGCTACGGCAAACAGTCAAACTGTGTTATTGCTTTGTCGCGTCGACGTTTGGTTGACGTGTTGCCCGCCTATGTACGCTTGTGTGCAGTCGGCAGGCTAATGAAATCAGTTGACCTGCCAGGCATGCACTTGTGTTCTCTGTACATGGTACGGCTCATGCATGAATGGCAAGTTTTGTACTGCAGTTGTCTTTCACCAAATGTACAAGGCACCTGTGCATGCATATGTACATTGGTAGCACATACCCATGGCCCACATACATTGTGGTGAGTATAATGGCAGTTCGTGTCGCCGTAACGTAACGCAAGGGCGTGGAAAAATGAATACAAATTAAAAAACCACAAAAAAAGCATACGGCAACAAGACAGACTTCGGGGGGCCTCTCAAATTTAGTATTGCAATTACACAAGGCAAATGACAAAGATACCTTAACGGAAAATTAACAAAGTTAGATAAATTACAATATTGGGTAACACAAGTAATAAGACCAGTGCAGGTGCGGGGCTGGAGGAGAGAGCATGGCTAAAGGCCAAGAAACCCAAACGTAAAAGTGGATACAAACATAAAGAAACCGAAAGAATGACTAACGCCCCAATGCGCGCAGCAGTCTTATATACCTGCAGAGTGCACCCAACCCAAAAAGTATTAAAGGAATTTGAAAAGTGTGCGCGGTATGCCCGCTGGTGGAGCTCAGGTAACTTTGTTACATAACCAAATCCTCTGGTGTAAAGCTGAGTCCTGAAGATTTTTGGCCAAAAAAAAAATGTAGGCCTACACTTAAAAAATGTACACTACTTAAACTCAGCAGCATGGGCATGGTATTCTAAACCAGAGACATAAACACACAGAGGCCTACAGCTTCAAGCAGACGCAGACATATTGAACATTCAGGTACTGGTACGTTCACATTATGGTCTCTGATACTGTGGAGTTGCTCTAGTACCTTGTAGTGTCTTGTGATAGGGCAAGGATTGCAAGGTTTAGGTGTCGAGTTCAGGGAATCAGAGATTTATTTGGTACAGTCCTGCATCCTTCACAGTCAAGAACCAGACTGGTACATGGACCCACAAGAAGTGGACGGCGACTTCTAATAAATTTCCCCCCCGTCGGGCCTCGTCGTCCATTCCAGTAATGGCAGTTGTTGTCTGTACTTCGTTATAAATGTGGTCGTTTTTTCTCGGAGCTTTTCCCATTGCTCTCATCCCTCATCGATGGGAGAAAGCGGGATTAATGACATTCTGTACACAGGGCATGCGTTGTTCTTAAGCAAGTGCATTTCTGTAATGAATGTGCATTCTTTATTCAAACATTTAGAATTTTCTGTTGTACTTTGTACATGTATATGCACAGATTGGAGGGGGCTGAGACTATGCTCAAGCCAAACTCCACCACATACACGTAGCTACCTAACTACAGATAAATACTTTTTTTTTTTCACTGCCCGGGGTCATTAATAGCCATAAACCACCTTAACTCCTGGTTAAGCATGGATTATAGAACCAACCCTCTCAGCAACCTCCTTAAGGAGCTTGGATTCCAGAACATTACATGTACGTCGATATATCCATTACTTAGTGCTGAAGGCACGGGCCTTGGTGAATGTTTAATTTTTTTTTCTGTCTCATCTTTCGTCATGTACACATGTACATTTCATGCCATGGTTTGGACATGGTGTACATGTACATGCAATGGTATAATTATTGTACACACGATGTACATGTACGTAAGTAACATTAGTAACATGTACATGTATGTACCGGTACACGTGTAGCATCCGTACATGTGCCTGGGTACAGTGTACATGTACCGGGTACCTTTATGTGCATAAAATATGTATTATATCATTCCAGACTTTATAACGTAACCGTAACATCAGGTTTTTTAGAACCCTTGCTGTTCATTCATGTGAGCAGAATTCTACATTCACTAGTACGTGTATATACCCACACGATGTGCCATTTTGTTTCAGTTTTGAGGACTGGCCATTGCAGGACTTGTGGTTCAGGGTTGTGTTTGGCTGGGTTTTGCTTCTGTTTTTGCCGTGTACCAGGAGAGGGGGTAGCGATTTCCATCAACCTGTTTGAAAAAAACTTAACTCATTGCACGTTTGATAGACGCTGCTGTATACTTTGCATGTTTTGTTTTTGTCTGAATCGAGATGAATGGTCGGTTCTGTTCACCTCTGCATATGTTCCCCTTTTGCTCTGACTACGACATCAAACACCTCTTTTTGTGTTGTATACTCACACACCCCTGCTGGTCGCACATTCTTGCGTCTCCCTCCTATAGGGAATCATGCTTTGGCTGGGACATTTCATTGCTTGAAGAGGGGTGCTTGAGTAGGAGGATGTACCAGTACATGTACATGCAGCATTACGTTTAATAAATATCAGAACTGATTTCCTTTTTTTTAAAATTTATTTTCTGAGAGTTTTCATTTAATAGTTAGTTCGCACATGTAGGTACCAGTAGTAATGAGGGGTTTTTTTTTCTTCATTGGTAGAATTGGTTATGGTACCCTGAATTCAAACTATAATTCGACTGTTATCTTTGCTTATAATATTCCTACATTTTGAATGGACCTTTCCCAAATAGTCAAGACAGCCTTTGAAAATTAACCTATCTGGAGTTTGTAGTTGGCATTCTCCATTCAGTTACAAATATTTACACAAGATTTTAGCACAGGAGACTGGTTTTTGTCTACTATTGAAATGTTTAAGTTATTTCTTATGATGCATTAATTTTATGTTGAATATTCTGTCAAATTGCTTTGTTATAAATACTTTTAAGGACATTTTGAATGCATGGGCCTTTTACACGACAAGACATGATCTGGTTGTACACACACGTATGATGTACCCACACAATATGGATGAATATGTGCACCACATGTATGCAAGCCTACTTGCTTCCATAATTTTGTTTCCAGTGCAGCTTTGTGTGTACTCAATGGCTACTTGTTAACCAAACTGAAAACGCCATTCATTAGGTCAGACTTTCTCGTTGCAAAAATGGATGAGAGAGTTTCGTATTAAAGATTAACGCATCACCCACATTTCACCTGTGTTTGTTTGCTTGGAACAAAGAGAAGAATTGTTTGGGTGAGGTCCATTTGCATGTCCGTTTTTTAACCATCTTCTTACCACCATCTGTACTTCCCTTTTTCTGACTTGCCGCATATTTTTTCTCTCCACTTTTGTTTCTCTCTTTTTTTTTTTCTCTTCTCGGTTCCTTCTTCACCTTGGTCTGTACGTGCGTACGCTCGTTCGTTACACTCGCTCGTTCATTCCTTCGTCCACCATCAGCGGGGCTCTGACGAGTTGTTCACAGCCAACGGCACCGCCACTAATCCCCTTGTTGCCTCCAACTTCGGCGGAGGTGATTCACCTATTAACGATGCCAAAAAGGTAATCTGGGATTTTTTTTCCTCTTTCTCCCCGCCCCCCCTCACTCCCAAGTTTCTTTTTTTTTTTGGTTAGATCTTAGCCCTTGCATCTGTATAGTTATCTCTCACATTTGCCAAATTCAAGGTCCTAGTCCCAACCAACACTTCCCCCCTTTTGTTGCCTTGCCAAAAAAAATTGCTTTCTTTGTAATGAAACTCATCAGATGTTAGTGATATAATTTTTGCTCGTTTTCATGTTCCATTGCCGTGTTATCATAGTTGCTGTTTTATTCCCACTAGCATGCAAGTAATCACATATGTTCTCAAGAAACCCACATTTTGTTCTTCTGTTGGCCATGTCATAATGATTTAATATCACATGCTAACAAATTTTGGTTGTATTTGTCGTGTTTTTCTATTTTTTCCTTCCAACAGCACTCCTTCTAATGAGGTGTCCTTGGGAGGATCATTTAACAATAAGGACATTTCTTGAAATACGCTTGGCATTTCTTTGGAAATTAGCAACCTATTCTAAATTTGACTGCTTGTCATTGTCTGCTTGGCCATGCCATCACACTGTGGCCACTTAGTAAGCGTACATGTACATGTGTATTACAAGCTAAAGTGGGAAAATGGGCCAGTAAGAGTTGAGAGCCAACAGTTGGCCATGAAGATGAGATAGCCACAAAAAAGTGGACAGGTAGCCGTCATTGTTGGTATTCACATGGAACATTATGGTTGCAGTAATACATTTGCTATTTCTTGCCACCCAGAGCAGGTTTCTAGGCTTGCCAAGTGACCACACACAGGTGGCCTTTTAGAAGGCTTACCATATGTAAACCAGTAAGAGGTGGTCACTACTGTCAAGTTTCCTCTGTGGACCAGTGGCCATGTTGGGTTGATCCATAGTAGACAGGTGGCCATTAGTGCACTACATGTACAGGTACATACCGTATCACCAATATACATGTAGAACTGGTGGCCACTAATGGCAGGTGGCCTCTATAGACTAATGGCCACTAATGTCAGGTGATCCATAGTAGATAGGTGGCCACTAGTACACAACACTCTACCAACATAGTACTGGTGGCCACTAATGGCAGGTGGCTTCTGTGGACTAATGGCCATTTATGTCAGGTTTTCCATACCGTAGTAGGCAAGTGGCTACCAGTACACAACACACTACCAACGTACATGTGTATATGTAGTCCTGGTGGCCACTAATGGCAGGTGGCCTCTGTGGACTAATGGCCACTAATGTCAGGTGATCCACAGTAGATAGATAGTCACAAGTGCATAAGCCAGTGTAGGACTAATGGCCTCTGTAAACAAATGGCCGCTATTGTCAGGCATCTTTAAGAGACTGGTGCCCAATAGAGAGCCATTTCAGGCTGGTAATCTGGAATGCTAAGTGGCTGCTGTGGAATGGTGACTACAGTCAACAGAGATTGGAACGAGTCGCACTCAACACAGGGTCAAAAAGTGATTGGGTAACAGATTCCTGAATTCGTTTGATTCCCTTGCTTCTCATACCTGGTAGCATTCAGCCACTGTTGACTGGTCACCACCAGCGGTCAAGGCTTCTAACACATGGACTGATGATGACTGTGAACCCCTCCCCCCCGAAAATGCCGTTTCAGTCATCAACAGATGCATTTATTTTCTCCATATTTCCTCTAGAATGGTAGATACAAGTTGTGTACCACAAGCTATTTTCAGTAATGAAAGCACCATCTAATTCACTAGTTCCATAAAACATCCCCTCTGCCATTCCAACTTCTGCACTGGGGTTTCTATAATTCTAACCAAAAACCCATCCAAAATCTGGTTCCAGATTTACATGCAAATATTTGTGCGCCTTTTTATTTTTTAAGAACTAGCCTCAAACCAGGAAATTCTATAATATGATCCGGGTTGCATTATTTTGAATGGTCTTGGAGTAACAATGATGGGAAAATATCAGTTTTGGCAAGCTAAGGAAAAGGGAAGAGGCATATTATAAATGTTGTGTACACTTGGCCCCGATGGCATGTGCATTAACGTGGGTTCACACACAGCAATTTCCTTTATGATAAGCCAACATAAACATTGCCACATCTACAGTTGACTAAATATCCTTTTCTGATCAACAGTTGTATTTCATTTGTTTAAAGTAATAATGTTTTTAAAAATACAAGTTTTCTTCTCTTATTCAACTCTTGAAAAATTACATTTTATTTCCTGAAAAAAATCACCCGTAGAAGAATTTTGCTATGATTGAAATGCCACACCATGTAAGCTTTCATGTAAAACAAAAAGAAAAATTATTGGAAAGCTTGCTGGGTAGCCATTTTACTTCAATTTGCAAAACTGTGGTCAATCTAGGCCACGTAGCTCATCTATCCCCCTGAGAAGAAATCTGGACCCAGAGATGAAGACACAGAATGTGCAAGTAGAGTGTGAAGTTTTTGACACGGACTCACTTCACCTGGCATATTGCGCCCAAGCGATTCCCGTCCCTCCCGCCCCAGTGCTGCCTGTCCCTCCCAATAAGTCTCCCTCCATCAGACTCAAGGCCTTGCCACGGCCCCGCTTCAGAAAGCATGACAAGCGCAGGCATGAAGGAGGATTTGCTAGCCAGTCTTGCAGCTGTTTTTGCTGCAGCGGCCTGGTCGGCCGCCGTTCCAAGTCGCCCTGAATAATTATGAGTATCAAGGAAATTGCAGTTTCAGCCCCCGTACATGTACATGTACTTCAATTCTGCTTGACTTTGCACTACACAGAAATGCCTTATCATTTTGTAAATTAAAATCAGTTTCAAAACTAACCTTGTTATCGCAGAATGTTCAATTTATTCAGCCAACAGTTTGCTCCAAATTAAATTTTTCTGCTGGTATGCTAGGAAATTTTTTGGTGTAGGTTCATATCCATGTCTCTGTTGAGGCTTTCAGAATCTGTATAAACAGTGGAAGTGTAGTTTTGCGCCAACAATCGTGACGTGCAAAATCAGTAAACACTAATGAAAGATAGAGGCTGGCAGTCGGCCTATCCGGGAGGTAAAATATGCCGAAACTTATGCCAAGAAACAAGTTAAAACTTTCACTCAAATAGTTGCACAGTTGAAATTGACTGACTGCTGGTGATTAACTTCGGAATGGTCAAAGGAGATTTAGATGAGCAGTCCTCAGATTACTAGTGTAGAGCAGTGTTTGTCAAGCTGAGTTTCTTGCCCCGCACTGACAGAGCTGACGTGGCAAAAAGCGGATTTGAAGCACAGAACATATTGCTGTCAAAATTGAAATCTTTTGTTCATTCCAAAAGAAGTCAAGTTGGTCTCAGTGTACTACTGGTTCAGTGCGAACAAACGAGGGCAAATTTACTTAGAAATGAAGTTCTGTGGGGCCATTGCACAGGCATACGTGGTAGGTTTGTACATGGTACATGTACACTCCTGGCACAGACCACAAGTACCGATATTTTGAGGGGGTTCTCTTTGATCAAAGAGGATGTGTTGAATCAATGCCTTACTCTGCCACCTGTCCACCTGTCCTGAAGGACAGGCAAAATAAATTTTATTAGTAGGTTTTGCTTCTGAAAATTTTACAAGCTGCAATTTTGTTACATAAATCTTGTAACATCGGTGAAGAGCCATGCAAGCTTTCCTCGGATCAGCTGATTACTTTGTCTTTCATTTCACTCTCATGCCATTGAAAATTGAAAAACACTGCATAAACTGGTAAAGATTGGAATTTCTTCTTTTTTTCTTTTTTTTTAGCAAAATCCAAGTTGCATGACTGGGTGAACAAATCTTCATATGTACTTCCAAAATTCTGGTTGCAGTGGCAATATGGTGTCAGCACCAAGGGGTTTCAGTTCCCAACAAAATTTCCCGGGAGAGGACGGGCAGTTTTTAACTTTGGTGAGGAAGGGACAGGCAGATTTCTCATTTCTACATGAAACCATATGCTGGATGGACGGACCAAAAAGTTTTTGGAGTAGAGAGACGTTGGCAAATCTCATGTAGGCGAACGTGTACAAGCTGTTTTCATCACCAGTAACAACTCACCTGGCTCAGCCAACCAAGAAATGATAAAAACACCCGTCGGGATGATTATGAGTGGACGTTATTGTCTGCACGGACCGCCGCTCGCGTTATTGCCACCGTCCTGGCTGGACTCCGCCGAGTGGCTTTTTTCTAATTGCGTCAGTGTAATTTGCTGGATGGGAGATGGATATTCCAGGCATCTCCAAAAGCGGAGATGATGGGAGCTGAGGCAAGTCTGGGCGAAGGATGAATCACCGTAGAGAGTTCGTCAGGGTTTTTTGATGGGTTTATTAGAGAAAAAATTGGGGGGGGGGGTTGTGGAAGAAATTTATGGATCAGTAGATATTCCCTAGTGATTGCTAGGAGTCAAAACAGGCAGGGGGGGGCCAAAGAAAGTTGGCCAATCAGTTTGGACTGTATTAACCTCTTCGTGCTGGGGAGCCCGGTTTTGGGTATCTTAGGTTTGTACAATGTGCGTGTAAGCCGGGGTGCCCGAAATCAGACAAAACAGCTTGGGTCTTGTAACAAAAGACCGTAATCGGAACAAAAGACAAAGCTGCTGGGAATTGCCAACATTTTTTCATTTGTCAATAGCGGAGGAAATCCATCATTGTTTTGAAAGATTATACCACTGTTTGTGGCATTCAGCGTCAGCGGATTACCCCCGGAGACAAAAGCACTCTAGCACTCCAGTGATTAGCGATACAATACCACTGTTTGCTAATCTGGCCCGTATTGAAAAGACGCCAGAAGCGCGCTGTGCAAGTTTCAAAGAAACACCACACAATCTTGGCTCTTTTTACAAGGCAGCAGGCCTGGCTGAAATACTCTGGCATCAGTAGAAGTTGTCTGTCAGATTAGAGTAGCCACCAGACAGTCACTCGATGGGGTTTAGGCGTTCAGGAAAAGAAGATAAGAATTTTTGAAGATTTTTGAAAACCGAAGACATTGAAAAATCGCCCGTATGTAGACACTGCTTTTTTAAAAGCACCCCGCAG